CTACAGATGTGACCACACTATACATACAATTATGTGGTAAGCACAAGGTCCTGAGTTCGATCCCACAAAACAAAAAAAAAAAAAAAAAAAAAAGGAATTGAAAGAAATCTTGTGTACCTGGTCTGCCACCAGTAAGAGAACTGGTCAGGACCTGAGGTTATAGAATTCAGGTACAGTGACAGCTTGGCCAGGTGTTACAGATCAGGTTAGGAATTTTTGCCGGAAATCTCAACAGTAATTTCAGGCAATTTAAGGATTTTACTAAGAGAGGGGACATTTAATAAAGTATCCAATTTGCCTAACAAACAATAGGCATAGTTTATTGGGTTGAGCAAGCATAAGGACAAATGAATTAGGAGACATTTGAAATAAACGGGGTGGGATGAGTGTGATAAGGATGATAGAAATCAGCATGGAGAGGATGATATAAACTTCATAAATTCTTTAGTAGGAAATACGTACTGAACTCAGCAATTATTTCATAAAGAGTTGTTTAATTCTGGAGGGGATAGTGACTCACAAGTCCCCCTTCCTTGAGCATCTGAGGGGTTATGGTGGGATTTCTTGATACTGAGAAACGAGCTAAGCTGTGGTTTTGGTGTAAAAATGATGCATAGTGTTTTTAGCACATGGAGTTCATTGTCTCTAAGGCATATTCCTCACACAGGCCATAGATCACGCATGTATGTGTGGATAGTGCTCATATGGAGGGCTTCAAGAGATACTTTTGACTGTCAACAACACAGTTTAGTGACAGGACCTTAGGGAGGGATGAATTAAGAGAATGGAAACTGGAGAGTGAAGAAAATAGGCTTGAGACCTAGTAACTAAACTTCACTTAGTAAAGAGAGGAGGTAGTTCATTCATTCATTCTATAAAGAATATTTCAGCCAGGTATAGTGGTGCATGCCTGTGATCCCAGCACCCAGGAAGCTGAGGGAGAAGGATCACCACAAGTTTGTGGCCAGCCTGGGCTACACAGTGAGTTAAAGGCCAGTCTGAATTACATAGCGAGACCCCGTTTCAAAACAAAAGAATATTTAATGATTTACTACTATATGCCCCCACTATTATAGGTGATATTGGATATAGTAATATATAAAATAGGAATATATAACTGTCCTTATGACATTTACATTCTGTTGGGAGTGGCAGAAAATGTTAAACAGGTAGTAATGATATAGGAGGCCGGGTGTGGCAAAGCTGGTTGGGGAAATAAACAGGACCTGTCAATTGCAAGATCTCAGGATGGCGCCAAATAATTTCCAGGGCCCTGTATGTAGAACTTTTTTTTTTTTTTTTTTGGTACCCAGGATAGGACTCGGGACCTTGCGCTTGCGAGGCAGACGCGGTGCCTCTGAGCTAAATCCCCGGCTCTGTGTGCAGAACTTTTTGCACGAGTTCCCAGGAGTCATAAGGACACAGACCCAGGAAGAGCCCACTATCTTGACTCCGCACTGTAGCCTACTCTCCGTCAGAGTGCACTTTTATTTTTGTTTTTATCCTTTCCTCTCTTTGTTTAGCCGTTTGCTCTACAGAGCTAGTTTCCTCCTTATTCCTTCACCCCTCACTTTTCAAATAAAATGTTGGCACTGTTTTTGGCTATACCTTCACGAAGCTCCTGGCTTCATTTTTCCCCCCTGGTATGACATGAGTAATTTCATTTTGGTGCAATAACTTCTTGAAGAATAAAAGGATAGTGGACTCTGAAATCTCTCCTGTAAAGTATATTTTCTCAGCAAATGTAAAACCAATCAATTCTTTAGTTCATTCTACAAATTTATTCTATGTATATAGCACAGAGAATCCTTCTGGGGGTTTGAGATAAAGAGGTCAAAGCAGCTACATCTTGACACGATTTTACCCTGAGTATTCTTTAGAAGTCTATAGAGAAAAATAAATTACCTAGACCGCCCAAGAACAACCGAGCCTACATGCCCCTGCTAGAACTCTCACAAACCACTGGGCTTGGTCCAAATTACATGCTGGGGTAAACCTGAGATGAGGGACTCCTGGCTCCTGTGGCTCTTCAAGTGTGGGACTCTATTTCCCAGTGGCCACCGCGCCAGGGGTAACAAATGTGCTTCCGGTTTTTGGGGGGGTGGAGGACCGATGACGTATAGGGCGAGGCCTTCAGGTAAGAGGAAAAAGTCGCCGGAGGGAGGGGCCTCTGGCCTTTGTCGGAGGGAGGGACCTCTGGCCTTTGCCAGAGAGCCGGAGTTTCAGGTGAGTTCGTCCGCGTGCGGATAACAGACCAGGGTGATTATATAATCATGAGGAGGGGGGTGCGCGCGTGCGTGAGCGCCTTGTGTGCGGAGCAGAGGCCTGTGGACTCTGAGGGCTCTTGTAATGGCTGTGAGTGTCACTGCCCGGCTCTCGGCTTCTTCTGCTTCTTTCGTTTCCTCTCACAGCCACTCGGGCTGCAGCAGAGAAACGGCTCCAGTGTGGGTAACATTCTGAGCTTAGAATGAAGCATTCCACGAGAAGGTACAGACCGGACACGGGATGGGAATTTGAGAGTTGGAGGTGCCTTTGAGAGTCCCTCAGGAGGGCAGCTACATGTGAACTACAGCGTTCGTGCAGCCCTGTCCCCAGCAGCCATTGTGGGTGCCCAGACCGATCCCTACTCCTTTTATTTCGGTCCCCTTTTGTGCGAAGGGAGGGAAGGTGAGGCCATGGAAGATGCTTTCAGACTTAGTCTGCTCTGCGCTCCGAGAAAGGCCGAGAAGGGGCCTTATGCTTGCCTCCTCCCGTCGTGCGGTTATCCAAAAGAAGGACCTGTAGTAGAATGAGAGCATTATTGCTGCACATCTAAAAATCAAGGGTGAGTTTATACTTTAAGAAGTGCTCGCAGGCCCGGGGATTTAGCTCAGTGGTTCCACCGCCTGCCTCGCAAATGCAAAGTCCCGAGTTCGATCCCCGGTACCCCCCCCCCCCCATGCTGTTTTGATTTTAGAATGTGGAGATCTCAGTAAATTTTCAGTAAAGAAGGGCTATGTGCAAACTGATACTCCATGATTGTGAACTCTTCTTTATCCGTCGCCTTTCCACTTCATAGTCCCATAATCATTTGACAGATCTTTCACATCATCCTGTGCATCCTTTTTGTAGGATGCTATGAAAATAAACCTTTAGTCAGGCTTGGGTTTGGTAAGGAGGAGACCAGTATTTAGATAGAAGCACATGCCAAATATCTTTTGGTCTTTACAGACCTCTTTTTTCCAAGCTGAGGAAGAAGAGAGATGGTTAAATGATTTCAGTTCACCTGTAAGACTTTCAGGAGTGGGAAAGTGACAGCACAAGATTTGGAATTAAGAGCCAGGATTTTCCAGGGTGTCCATTAGTTGAAATTTGTAATACTCACCCAATATTGCTGAGGTTTGGCAGCTCCAGTTGTGTTTTGGGCTTCTTTTTTGTCTGTTTGTTTTTTGAGCTCGCAGTGTAGTTCAGGCTGGTCTTGAATTTGTGATGATCCTCCTGCCTCAGCCTCCTGAGTGCTGGAGTTACAGGCAAATGCCACTATTCTGGGCATCTTCAGCTTTTGGTTGGGGGGTGGGCTGTGAGAGGCAGGGCAGTGTTGTGGTTAAATCAGGGATGTGGTTCCAGACTATCTTGGTTGGATTCTTGGTTCTCCCCTTTGGCTTTGTAATAAACTTTAGAATGAATTAATATTGTAAAGCTCCTTAGAGTGGTGCTGGGAGTCTTGTGTTTAATAAGTTTGTGTGATCTGTTTAGGTTACTCTCAACTTTCTTTTTTTTTGCGGTATCAGGGATCAAACTCAGGATCTTGCACTTGCCTTGGCACCACTGAGCTAAATCCCCGGCCCTCAACTTTCTATAGAAGAGGAGCATTAGGGATAGTAATTCATTGTGATTGCTGTTTGTATATTAAGAATGGGATGTTCAGTTAACCTGGGACAGAAATTCTTCATTTTTTATGTTTTTAAAATTTGCAGATAAAATTATATGTATTTATTTTATACAGCATGATGTTTTGAAGTATATATAAATTGTGGAATTATAGCCAATTAGCTCCTGGATTACCTCACATAGTTTTTTCCCCCTCCAGTGGATTCTACAAGTGATAAGAGAATTTTATGTTGATAAAAATGTCTTTTTATGTTGGCTCCTCCCCCCACCATTAAAGAGCATCTTCAGAGGTAAAAAGTAATGCATTTATTTAGATGTACTCTTCTTTGGCAACTTTAACTTCTTCCACCGTCGTAGCACCACTTAGTAATTGTCACTTGCATCTTCTCTTCGAACATCTTTTTCAGAAGAATCTGCATTACTGCCTCTGTTTCTGCTTCTCTGTCCTCCAATGACAAGGACCAGTGTATCTCCTACTTTTACTGTTCTGCTTTTCATCCATAATTTTTCCCCATTCAGTCCGATATCACCTGTGTAGAATGCATCTTCCACTTGGTTCCTCCTAATGTCTAGGCCTGACTTCAGGATAACATCGAATCGAAAAGACTGAACCACTTTCTCCAGGTCCTTGTAGTCTTTGACCACTGTGGGGTCATCTTGAAGCTTCTCTTCCTGGTCACTTCTCTCACTGTAGTCACTCTCCTCGTCAAGGTCTTCTTCACCTACTTTTTGCTGAGCTTTTTAGAGGACTTTTTAAAGCTTATATTACTTTTGAGTCTTATAAAAAATGGAAAAATATATTCTGGAGATACTAAAAGCCCTGGGAATCTCAGAGAGAAGATATTATGGAAAAGTGTTTTATAATCTGATGCTTTTAACTTGGTACTTGAAAAATATAAATATCGATTACAGGAAGCACAGAGCCTGTGTGAAGAAGTCCCTTGAAGCACACCCCAGAGTCCAATCCAGGCTTCTGTCTTTTTAAAAATACTGGTGAACAGTCTGACACTGGTCATAGCCATGGTGCATCCAACCTAAGACTGTAAACAGAGCAATGCTTTGACGCCTGTGCGTGATGCTGGCGATCACTCTGTGCTCCTTTGGCCCCTGCTAGACCTCTGGGCTCTGCCTCCTCACATAGTTGTGTTTTGTTTTTTTTGTACCGGGGCTCAAACTCGGGTCCTTGTGCTTGCGCAGCAGGCGGCGAAACCACTGAGCTAAATCCCTGGCCCACACATAATTATTTTTAATATCCACTCCCTTAACATTTTTCAAGAACACAATGTAGTGTCATTAACTATAGTCACCATATTGTACAATAGATTTCTAAAACTTATTCCTCCTACCTGAAATTTTATATCCTTTGGCCAACATCTCCCCAATCCCTTTCTCTACCACTTCAGCCCCTGTTTAACATTTTACTCAGCTTCTATGAGATCGACTTTTTTAGATTGTACATATGAGTGCGATCATGTGGTATTTTTCTTTCTGTGCTTGGCTTATTTCACTTAACATAATGTCTGCTAGATTCATCCATGTTGTAGCAAATGATAGGATTTCCTCATTTTATGAATGAATAGTATTCCTTGTGTATATGTACCATATTTTTTTTAACCATCCATTCACTGGTGAGATTCCATATCTTGGTGATAATCCTGGAATAAAGGTGGGAATGCAGATACACTTTTTTTTTTTTTTTTGGTACCGGGGATCGAACTCGGGCCCTTGCGCTTGCGCAGCAGGCGGCGAAACCATTGAGCTAAATCCCCAGCCCTGCAGATACATTTTTGACATTCTGTTTTCCACCATTTCTACCAGTAATGTGCAAAGGTTGTCTTTTCTCACATCCTCATCAATACTTGCTATCTTTTGTCTTTCTGATAATAGCCATTCTAATAGGTGTGAGTTGATTTCTTATTGTCGTTTGTATCTGCCTGATTTTGATGATTGATGATGTTAAGCGTCTCTTCATATACCTGTTGGCCATATGTATATCTCCTCTTGGAAGATGTCTATTCAAGTCTTTACCTATTTTTAAATTGAAGTTTCCTGTTATTGAGTTGAGTTCCTTATAAAGTTCCTACATTGATGTTTTGGATAGTAATCCTTTGTCAGATGTATGGTTTGCAAAGATTTTCTCTCATTTTGTAAATTGACTCTTCACTGTGTTGTTTCCTTTGCTGTGCAGAAGATTTTTAGTTTGATATAATCACGTATGTCTTTTGCTTTTGTTGTTTGTATTTTTGGAGTTATATATGTAAAAAATTATTGTGCAATCCAATATTGTGAAGCCTTTCCCCCTTTTCTAGTAGTTTTAGTTTCAGGTTTTACATTTTAATCTTTAATCCATTTTGAGTTGATTTTTGTATCTGGTAAGAGATGGGGGTCTAATTTCATTCTACATGGAGATAATCAGTTTTCTTACCACTATTTATTGAAAAGGCTGTCCTTTCTGAATTGTACATTCTTGGCACTTTTGTCAAAAATCAGTTGGCTGAGCTGGGATGTAGCTCAGTGGTAGAGCACTTGGTTAGTAAGCATGAGGCTCTGTACTCAATCCCCAATACCACACACACATCTGTTGGCTGTAGATGCATAGATTTATTTTTGGGTCCTACGTCTGATAGGGTGATGCTTTCAGCTTTGTTTTTGTTTTTGTTGTTGTTGATGATGATGATTGCTGTGGCTATTTGGGCTCTTTTGCAACTCTGTATGAATTTTAGGATTTTTTTTTTTGTCTATTCTATGAATGTAGGACGGAAATTCTTAATCTGAGTTCCCGTGACTATTTATGGGACCACAAATCTCTATATTTGAAGTGTTGTTGAAATTGATAAATGTGAGTTTTGTGGGGAGAGAAAGTATATGATTTCATGAGATTATCACAGGTATCCATGACCCAAGAGAGTTAAGATCCATTGATTTAGAACAGGGGTTCTCACACAGGTGTGTGCGCTGTTTATAACTGGTGGGTAGAGATCAGGAATGTTGCTGAACATTCTACAGTGCAGAAGCAGGAGGATCTGTTCAGAATAAGATCTAGGGCCCAGGCCTGGACCTGGTTGTGCATCCCCAGAGTGGAAGACTGGCTGGAATCCCTCCCATAGGGGTATTTTGTAGCAACTTCCAGTAAAAATTGCCTGTGCTTTTCATTCATGGCCAGTACTGCAGGTTCCCTGGGAGTTAGGAGAGAGTTGGATCTAGCCAGATTCCTGACTGCTACCAATTTGTGTGTGTTTGAATGTGGAAGTGGAAGCTGTGGGAGAGAGATGTGTTGGTGGGGTAGGTAAGAAAAGTGGAGAATGAAATGGTTACATTGATTTAAATTGTTTTGGGGGCACTGAGACATAAATCCTTCTCTTTTGTTCTCCAGGAGAGGAAGTCTAAAGAAGATTAATCAACCAGTTTTGTAATTTTAAAAACATGGTCCACGTAAGTTGGTCTGTTTCTCTTCCCCTAGAAATCTGATAACTTTCAGGTAGAGGACTCATCATTTATCGCAAAGCTTGCTACCTGAGGATCCAGGCTTCAGTGGCCGAGTTTGTGTCATTAACAGTGGAGTTGGAAGTTTAGTGCTTTTCCTCTTTGTGCCTTTTCTTTGAACACATCATTTAGCATCTACTCTGTGCTTGGCCCTCAGTCAGGGAAACACTGGAGCAGAGGAAAAGTCACTCCCACGGGAGAACAGGGCTTTAGGGTTTGAGAAGTTGTTTGAGATGGTTGTCTTGTTTGACCACACTTGGGAAAGCCTTGAAATTTCTCCCCAAATATGAGCCTTCCAGTCTGTGAGGTAGGATTTAATAGCGAGTAGTCTCAGTCTGTGTGTGTGATAAGGTTACCTGCTTTATTTATTAAGCTTTTAGGAAAATGTTCAGTGAGGACCAAGAGTGATCATCATCCAAGGTGTAAGTGGGAGGTGATTATAGATTCCAGAATGGAGAAATACCTTAAAGATGTTGACTATCCTAAACATATAAATACAAATGGTAGTTAAATCTAATATGTCAAGACAGGCATGGTAGTGCATGCCTGTAATCTCAGTACTCTGGGAGGCTGAGGCAGGTAGATTACAAATTCAAGCCCAGATTGGGCAATTTAGCAACTTAGTGAGACTGTCTCAAAATCAAAAGGGACTTGGAATGTAGTTCAGTGTGAAGCCCTTGAGTTCAGGCCCCGGTATATGAAAATAAAAACAAAAAAGCTAATATAACAGTTATGTGGAATGTTAGGCAGTTTATAAAAACCACTGCAATAACAAGGAAAAAAACCTTTTGATATTATTTGACATCATAATGAACTTGAGGATTGAGAGTCGTTCTCAATTTTTAAAGATATTTTATACAAAAGTTGGGGATATATCATGTTTTTAAAATTAATTTTATTAAAGAGGCGGGATGTACCATGTACACATGCAAATTTCCTATGATGGGTGTTATCATTTTGTGTGCCTAAAATGTACCTATAAATGTTTTGCTGTATTAAAAAAATAAATAAAATAAAATGAACCCCCCAAATTAATTTTAGTAGTACCTTTTAGATATACATAATGATAACATTCATCACAGGGAATTTGTACCTGTACATGATATATCTTAATTCTTCTTTTTCCCATTCTCCTCCCCTCCAACCCCTCTTCCCCTCCTTATTTACAAAAGCCTTGTTTCTATTTTTTCCTTCTATTCTCTTCTTTTTCCTTTTCTTTCTCCCCTCTCCCCTGCTTAGTTCCCCTTACCCTTTGAACATTTTCTTCCTATTTCCCATTATCTATTATACATTTTGTTCCTTATTTACCCTTTTGGTTTTTCTTACCAGAGAAACCATGCAATATTTCAACACATGTGTCCAATTTATTTCACTTAAGAGTATGGTCTCCAGGCCTCCATTTACCTAGAAATGTCTCAAGTTTATCCTTCTTTATGGCAGAGTAGTACTCCATTGTATAAAAAAACCCCACATTTTATACCCATCAGTTGATGGGCATTTGGGCTGTTTCCAAGATTTAGGTATTACAAACTGTGCTGCTGTAAACATGATATGTCATATTTTTTTATTGTTGGTATAACTTACAGAATAAAGGTGATGTAGACATTTACTAAACATTTGTGAAGTAGGTATGCAGCAGGCACTGTGATTATTTAGTAGAGAAATTCACATTGTTCCATCCAGTTCCAGACAAGCTACATGAGTTATTCTGTAGCATCAGGATTCTTCAAGAACATGCAAGTGTCCTGTAACTTTCCATTTTGTGTCTTTCCTACAGTTTAGTCCTTTACCTCCTCTCCTTCTGTCTTGAAACAGTCACCTTCAATTTCACTATAACACGTGTGTTTGTGGTTTCAGGAGTCAGTGACCTTCAGGGATGTGGCCATTGACTTCTGCCAGGAGGAGTGGGAGTGCCTGGACCCTGCTCAGAGGGACCTGTACAGAGATGTGATGTTGGAGAACTACCGCAACCTCATTGCAGCAGGTAAGGTCACCTGGTCCAGTCAGTGTATTATGTGTTCTCTGGAATATCAGCTTCCCTTGTTGTGAATTTTAGACTCTTTAAGAGGTAGCTGAATTCCTTCTTCTTCCCAATGGAATAGTTTGAGATTTGTTGGGTTGAAAACAGGCACCTCCATGAAGCACCTGCCTCTTGCCCACCTGCAATAATCTTCCTTTTTGCTGGTCCTCTCAGTAATTTGTCCCTGTTTTTCATGATTGAAGGACTGAGTTTGAATCTTGGACATTCATTGCTGGATTATCATCTAAGAAACCAGGTTTTATATTGTGTTTGATCTCACAGTTTCTATAGATATTCTCTTTTACCCTGTTCCTTCTGATATACCTATAAGGGGAATAGTTTCTTTAATTTTTCTATCATAAGACCCTCTATTATTCACAGTGGACACATTCTGTTTTCATTAACAAACATTCCCTTTGCATGCTTTGTAGTTGAAAGTTTCAGGCCACGAAGCATATCTTTTTCATTGACTAAATATCCTGAGAAAAACCTAAGGAGGCAAAAGTAGTAACAGTAATGAACATAATTTTTAACTTTGTGGTACTATATATAAGACAATATTGAGAGTATTTTAAATATATTTATTTAATCTTAGTATCAGCCCTATAAAATAGGTATCATTATCATCACTATTTTATAGATGGGAAAACTGAAGGACAGAGTTTTAAGTGACTTGCCCAAGGTTATCATGCTGTGGGGGCCAGGGCAGGACTTGAATTAGGCAATCTCAGCCCCTAAGTAATATTTCCATTTCCTCTTAAAGGACAAGACCCTGTATGAGTATAAATGAAACTGAGTCTCTCTCTCTCTCTCTTTTTAAAAGTACTGATAATTGAACCTAGGTCCTTCACATTAAGCTCCATCTCCAGCCCTTTTTTATCTTGAGATAGGATCTTGCTAAGTGCCTGTTGTGGTTTGGATCTGGAAGTCTCTCAAAGGCCTTACGTACTGATAGGCACGGCTTGGAGAAGGTGATTGGATTATGGGGCAATACAGCTGACTTGCTGTTAGGAGATGGGGTCTGGCTGGAAGAAGCGGGTCCCTGGGGCCATGACCTGGAAGTGTTTATCTCCCTTTCTGGCTCCTTTCACTCTCTGCTTCCTGGTCCACATAACATGAGCAGTTTTCTTCTGCCCAGGTGGGCCCTTCTGCCAGGTAACTGTAGACTGAAACCTCTAAAAATTGTGAGCCCAAATAAACCTGTCCTTCTTTAAGTTGTGGGTATCGAGTATTGTGTTGATGACAAAAAAGTAACTAAGATGGTTGCTAAATTGCCCAGACTGGGGTTGAATTTATAATTCTTCTGCCTCAGTCTCCTAGAAAACTGGGATTATAGGTGTGTGCCACTGCATTCAGCTCTAAGTCATTTTTCTAATCTAAGCTGATCTTTTACACTGTCCTTTCACTGTCTCTGAAGGCTTTTGACTTCTATTATAAATTTAACCAGGCTCAGAGTTTTAAAAAATAAATTTATATTTAAGAAAAGAACTATATTGTATGTCTTTTCTTTTCAGCAGGAAGTACCATTTCTAAGCCAGAAGTGATTGCCTTACTAGAGCAAGAGAAAGAGCCCTGGATAGGTGTGAGGAAGGAAACAAGCAGGCAGTATCCAGGTGAGTGGGAGTAAGGCAGGCAGGAGAAGCCAGCATTGCCTTGGACAGCTCATGTGGTTTGGCAAACTTCCTTCAGAAAGACTCAAGACCTATTGAAAAAATGTGCCTAAAACCTAGAAGGAAGTAAAGCTCACAGCAGGAGCTATCAAAGGAACTTTGTTTTTTAATGAATCACCTCTTTTTATTTTTTTTTTTGGTACCAGAGATTGAACTCAGGACCTTGTGTTTGTGAGGCAGGCATGGTGCCACTGAGCTAAATCCCCAGCCATTTTTTTTTTTTTTTGGTACCAGGGATCGAACTCTGGTCCTTGCGCTTGTGCAGCAGGCAGCGAAACCACTGAGCTAAATCCCCCCCCCCCCGACATTTTTGTTCTCATATTCTACTTTTAGTAGAGTGAGTGCCTTCTTTCATTCTCAATGTTAACTGTTAACATATATATTAAGTCCAGCTGCTTGCCAGCTCTGCTTTTTGCATTTAGGTTGCCATGTATACTACCATTGTCTAAAAATATCTATATAGTCATCAAATATTTATCCCATGCCCACTCTGAGCAAGGCGGTGTGCTTGGCACTGTCATCAGTACCGTGATATTGGGCTGGGGATTTGGCTCAGTGGTTCCACTGCCTGCTGCGCAAGCGGAAGGATCCGAGTTTGATCTCTGGCAACAACAAAAAAAAAAAGAAAAAAAAATCAGTACAGTGATATTGAGCAAGATTGATAAAAGTCTATGCTCTCATGGACTTAACAGCAATTGGCAAGACATAGATTAAACAGGGCTGGGGATTTAGCTCAGTGGTTCCGGTGCCTGCCTCGCAAGTGCAAGGTCCCGAGTTCGATCCCTGGTACCAAAAAAAAAAAAAAGACATAGATTAAACAAATAAGCAAACGAATAGAAAAGTAATATCCAAAACTTGTGTCATGGAGACAAGTATGTAGGCGTACTGAAGTAAGGGTGGCAGTGCTTTGGGGTCAGGGAACATGTCTTGAATCGAGAACCCTGTACTGAGAGAGGAAGTGAAGTTCAGGCTGTGCATACAGGTGAGAGCATTCTGGGCAGCAGACTTGGTGGGAACACAAAAGCCCCAAGAGGAGGTGATTGGGAGCAGTCAGAAGGTGAAGGAACAATGAAAGGAGTTCCGAAGGTTAGGCCAGGACCAGTTCATACAAGGTTTGGAATGTCATTGTGAGGAATATGCAGTGTTTTTCAAGAGTTATTGCACTCACATTCTGGTGGATGTTTAACATATTTTTCATATGTTAGTTTTAGGGCAAGTTTGACAGAAGTACAGAAAACTACATAAAACAAGCAATTACATCATTAATTATTTTAAAGTACACATTTTAAACCACCAGGTCATGATGGAGTCATCTACACTGGGAAGCCTCTCTCGCACCTCTTTGTAGTCACCTTTACCTCTGTGCTAGAAAATTTCTTTAGAGTTTTAAGTGAGCATCTCCAAGTTATCTGATTTTGTCTACTGTTCTAAATGTCTTTTAATTATCTTAATTTTAGGTTCCACTTCAATTTAAAAAATATTAATTTTTCTTGGTTAAATTGGATTATTTGTTCTAATCTCACCATCAGGGTTTTGCTGATTGCATTCCTGTGTTACAGGTGACATACATGTTCCTCTCTCTCTGTTTTCCTGCAGATTAGTAGTTTGGGTCTGGATGCTTGGTCAGACTCTGCCTTTGGGTTTATTATTTTGGAAGACTTTCTCAAGTGGTGGTGGTTTGCCTCAGTCAGTTGGCTCATGTCTGGTCGTCTCACTTAGATGATGTTAGCAGCCACTGTTGCCTCTCATGGCCACTAACTCATTAGGATTTTTTTATTCATTAGCCAGAATGTAGCTATGAAAAGAAACTTGGCCCCCTTTGCTACTTGGTTATTCAATTATGAAGATATATAGAAAAGCCAAGATAAATACTTGATTCTTTTCTTTTGCTTATTGTTTTCAAAATATGAGTCAGTTTCCTAGCATTCATTCAAAGTTGACTTTTTTTTTTTTAGGATGGTTATGAATACATGGAATTAAAATATTTGGCTGTTCTGTTCTGTTCTGTTCTATTCTCTGGTTTTCTCTTCTATTTTCTCTTTTTTTCCAGTACTGAGATTGAACCCAGGACCTCACACAAAGCTATCCCCTTAGCACTTTTTGATTACTTTATATTGAGACAGGGTTTCTCTAAGTTGCCCATGCTAGGCTCCAACTTGTGATCCTCCTGCCTCAGCCTCCCAGAGTGCTGGGATTACAGGCATGCACCAGAGCACCCAGTTAGTGTTTCCCCTTCTTGTTATTTTTACTGATGCTCCAATTATCTAATCCTGGGCCACTGGGTGGCTCCTGCACTCTTATAACATGACCTTGGTAGTCCTAAAGGGATTCCTAGCTATTTTGTAAGGCAATCTTTTCTAATCCATTTCACACATGTTCTTCTCCAAATTGGAATAGACATTTCTCCAGGTATTTAATGGAAAATAGTATTTCTGGGTGCTAGAGATGCTTATTGCTCCTGATTAAGTCATTGCTTTTAGACATTTTCAGTGGACAGAGATAGGAAAGACATTTATGTAGGTTTGTTATAAAAGGTAAAATACTTCTGATTTCACAGTGATCTTTCCAACTCAGTTTCAGGATTACCGGGTGATTGCTTAATCTATTCTGTATTCAACCTGTGTCTGCCTTTTTCTCAGATTGAAGTCCCTGGTTCTCAGTGACAGTGAGGACACCACAATTAAAGTATCCCACAATTACTTATTGGTTTTATCCCATGTAATGTGCAAAACATTCCAAGAATCACAGTGCCAGTACCACCACGACTATGTGACTTTTTTTTTTTTTGGTACCAGGGATCAAACTCAGGACCTTGTGCTTGTGAGGCAGGTGCAGTGCCACTGAGCTAAATTCCCGGCCCAGTGTGACTCTTGACTATGTGCTCTCCCCATTTTCTCCCCACTTTTCAGTTTTACACTCCCTATTCTTCAAAATACACAGCCATTCTATATTATAATCTCTTTTTACAAATCCTCTCTTAATGTTAATTGTGTGTGACAGTCAGTGTGAATGAGAGCAAGCATCTCTAGTTACTTTGATTGTTTTAACTTTTTATTTTGTTGGTTCGTAAGTAAAGCCTTATGGGAACAATGTTCCTTGAGTGTATGTTGATGACATTTTGTAGTGTTTTTTTAATGTAACACTTGAGATCATTCACATACCATAAAATCCATCCAGTTTCAGTGTACAATTGAGTGGTTTGTATACATTCATTTCATCATCCCAAAAGGAATTACCATGCCCATTAGCAATCACTGCCTATTTTTTCCCAATATATTTTGTAATTTTAAAAATTATTTCTTTGACTCAGGCATACTTCCTTTCATTTCCCCAGGTTTTTATGTTGAAAGTGATATCTAAAGAATAAAGAACAATTATTAAATTTCATTTACAACCATTATCTAGATTTGCTAATATTTTGCCATATTTGCTATATTTATGTATATATCTAAATATTTTAGACCTTTTATGCTGAACAGTGTGATGATCAGTCACTGATGTCGTGACACCTAGATATCTAAATATTTTGGCATGCATTTCCTTATTACTGCTAACATCATTCATGGCCACTAACATCACTCAAGTGAGACAACCAGACATGAGCTGACTGACTGAGGCAAACTTCCATTTCAAGAGTATCATCTAAAGTAAAATTTTATTTAAATTTATTCATATTCATATTCTCTTTCTCTCTCTGATACTAGGAATTGCAGCTAGGGCTTGACACATGCTGAGGCCTGGGCTATATCCCTAGCGCTTTTTTTATATATTTGAAAATTTTGAGGCAGGGTCTTGCTGAGTTGCTAAGGCTAACTTCAAACTTGCAATCCTTCTGCCTCAGCTTCTCAGATAGCTAGGATTACAGGTGTGTGCCACCATGCCTGGTAATTTTCACAGTTGGTTATTTTTTTTGGGGGGGGTGGTAAGTGTCCAATCAAAGTTCATAAATTAAGTGGTTAGGTTTCTTTAGTCCTTTTTAATCTGCAAGACTGCCTTTTTCTTCTTTTTTTAAATTTTAATTTTTATTTTTTTGGTACCAGGGTTTGAACTCGGGACCTTGCACATTTGAGGCAGGTGGTGGCACCACTGAGCTAATCCCCGGCCCTTCTTTTTTAATAGAGTCCAAGTCCAAGCAATTTTCTTAAAGCCTAGAAGCCTGGCAAACATTCTTAATTTGTGTGATTTACCTTTCTTCCCCCCTCATGCTGTGACTCAGAAAACTCCACGAGGGATGTAATTTACAGGAGTATTATGTGAAGAAGCTCCTAATATCCTGTCTTTGTATAGATTATTAAAATTTTGTTCACCTGTGTATGGTTTTCCATTTCCAAACAAATGTGTAATCTATGATACTGACTTTTAGCATGAATTTATTATGATCAGAGAATATATTACAGGTTGAGCATCTCTTATTTGAAAATCTGAATTTGAAATGCTCCAAAGTCAGAAACTTTTGAGTCATAGCTATGACACCACAAGCAGGAAATTCCACACCTAACCTTAAGTGATGGATCACAAAAAAAACCACAGGTACAGTGAAAGTACTGCATAAAATCACCTGCTAACTTTGTAAGGTGTATATAAAATACAAATGAATTTTCTACTTAAACTGGGGTTCCATTTCTAAAGTATTTCATTTTATGTTTCACACTTAGTTCGTGGATCTATATTTCCTAATGTTGTTTATTTACTTCATATTTTGAAGCCATTTTATTTTGTTTTTTTGGGTTTTTTTTGGTACCGGGATCAAACTCAGGACCTTATGCTTGCGAGGCAGGCGCCGGAACCACTGAGCTAAATCCCCAGCCCTTGAGGACATTTTATTATGGGCATGTTATCTTTAATATCCCTTTATTATCATTGACAATTATGTAGATGCTTTATAGGAAATTAGCAGAGACTTGTACAAATTAAAAATTTAACTGTCCCAGTCACTCCCCTTA